ATGTGTCACCAGTTTTCTAAACTAAGACAAGTTCTGTTTTGTCTCAGGAGAATTCAACAGAAGTGCCTCCAAGCCCTGCATCAGTCTGCAGTAGTACACCGGAAGAGTTTTGGAGAAATGTCGATTATCTCAGCCAGATATCGACACCCGATGTGACTGTATCGGATGAGAACGGTATGCCTCAAGTCTTCAGAGACATCAGTTCCAATCTAAGTGGTAAGAAAACCAAACAAAATGTTCTTGAAAATGTTCCACACACTCTTGAAGTGTTTCTCATTCTCTGTTCTCACTGATTCAGAACTAAGAAGACAGATAAATGAGCTTGACTCCGACATACAAGTACCAACGCCTGTGGAAGAAGAAGCGACTCGAGAGATTGAGACCATTGTTGATTTAGGAAATCCAGACAAAGTATTTGTGAGAGATCTTCTTGTGGCTTCTGGTTTGTATGACGGGACAACAGATAGATCATTGTCTAGATGGGATCCATTTGCAAAGCCTATAAACAAGTCTTTTCTTGAAGAAACAAAAGAGAATCTCAAGAAAACAAGAAATGAGAATCAAGAAGACGAAGATATCGAAGAGAGTACTAGAATTGAAGCAAATCATCATAGCATACTGTTTGATCTTCTGAACGAAGTACTTACCGTGGTGCTTGGACCATTGACAAAGTCAAGTTTCAAGAAGAAACTTATGATGAGCTCGTCTGAATCGACGACTATACGAGGTAAATATTTGTTGGAATCAGCATGGAGGATCATGTCGGAGTATTTATATTCTCAGCCAGAGAGACCCTTTTGTTCATTGGATGGGATTATTGGTTGGGACTTGGAGAGGTGTCCATGGAGTGGTTTGATTGGTGAAGAAGTTGATGTGTTGGGAAGAGAAGTTGAAGGTATGATCATGTCTGATCTTGTTGAGGAAGTTGTTAAGGATCTAAGAACACAAATGGTTTAAGATAAGAGTTAAGAAGAACTGATTGGATTGGTTTGGTTTGGTGAACTGTGAATGGTTTTTGGTGTGTTTATGTAAATATGGTTTTTTTTTTTTTTTAATGGAGTGTTTTTTATTGAAGAAAGAGAGTTTCCATGGTAACTGTAAATGTTTACTTGCAGTTCAAGGAAGCTAGAATTACTATTTTACTAATACGATGAGGAGTGTCTAAAGTTTTAATGGAGATTTTC